CTCCCAACTGATATGAGAGGCTATACATCATTAAGTAACTAGGCACTGCTCGGTATCGCACCATCATCAGGCTTAATGGAAGCCCGCCGCACTAAACGAGGTCGAATCAACCACTTCTTTTTTTTTCTTCTCCAAGTCGTGCTTTCGATAAAGCAGGCATCCACTTCTTCCTCGGCCATTCCTTAACAAGAAGCAACCACGCCTTAAAGCATGATAAAGGAATGTTTTTTGGTCAGCTTTCAGGATAATGTCTCCCTTCAGGACGGTGATACTTCAGGCACTCAACAAAAATAAATTACTAGAATCAGATAGAAGTAGATATAAATGGTAAGCACTATCAAATTCATAGAGTATAGTAAAATTAAAATGTACCATAGTATTCGTTTGTTATAAATGATTTTACTTTTTCAACGATCCACAATATAGTCTTCTGCATTCTTTAAGAGAAATAATTATTTTTAATTAATGCTTTCAGAAATCGATTTGTCAGAAATGTGGAGATAATCTTTTCAGAAAGTTTTTGTGTACTGTTCATGATAATTGCTACGAGTCTGTTCCAGTTTTGATAAATTACATATTCTGTCATTTCCATTTGTTTTATTGGTAAATATATTTGTAAGTCATACGATAATTATAAGCTGTTTATTATTCTTGAAAATTCGATCTGGGAGTCTCATCCACGGCGATGGCCAAAATGCCATGATGATGACCCACATGCTTGGATTGAAACGTAGCACAGTTCATCGACCAATAAAAATATCAATAATTGAACTATTTTCTTACAAGTCAATCACCATTTAAAATTTATTAATAAACCTTCGAACACAATCTTCTAGGATCATATCATTGTTTACTTATATTTTTCAAGTCAATACAATGGGCGAAGTACAGCTGGTTTTGCCCAAATGAGACGTCTTGCTTGGTCTTGCAAACTCAGTCTTGGCCCATGGTCTTTGTCTTGCGCAAGAGTCTCGCAACAGTCTTGCAGTTACTTATTAGCTTACTGTTATAGAGATATTACTGTATTTTTTTAGATAGGATAAACCTAACTAAATGCGAATGACAAATTAGAGGAGTTAAATGCAAAAGTATATTGGTTATACCAATTATTAACATATAGTAACAAAGATTGTCAAGCATTAGTAACTATTTTGTCTTACTTTTTATTTAAAAAATCGATTTTTTTTTTACCAGTCCTTGTCTTGGTCTTGCAACAGTTAGGCGTCCTCGGTCCTCGGTCCCAAAATCAATCTTGGTCTTGCAAATTGCAAATCAATCAAGACCAAGATTGATTTTGGGCAACACTAAGTGCAGCTACTAATCCTTTTGCAACAAACACCTTATTAGTATCAATTTATGTTTTTTACTGGGATCACTTTGCTTTTTTATAAAATTACAGCTCCAAGTATGAAATTTACATGCCCAGGTATGTATTTGAAAATGCTGTATTTTAATTGCAAAAATTAAATCATTAGATTATTTTGCATGCCTGCTTCTAATTTGACTCATTTTTTTTTAACATTAAAACTTTTTTTCTATATATGTTTATTTTAAGGCTTTAACCATTATTGCCTTATTTTCATTGAGAATTAGAATGTATTTTCAAGTTTAGAACATTTCAGAAAAGAAAATTATTTATCAATTTCATTCGTATTTCCCTGTAAAATGGAGTTCTTTTTATTGTTTTTATAATTATATTTCAAAAGTTGGCGTTTTTAAAAGTAACTTGTTTTCCTGATGACTTTCATATTTGAATATTTTCCCGATAACATTCACACTGATTGAGTTAAATCAATTCATTACTACATACAACTATGCCATTGGTGAAATTCCGTATTATTGGGCTCGGAAACTTAGAAATTAAGTTTAAAATGCTGGTTTTGGAGAAAAACTCATTATCCTATTTTTTCGGTTAAGAAAATCTGAAATTTGTCCATTTTGATTATTCACTCAAAGCACAGTGCGTCGGCAACATAAAAATCTTAAAATGATGTCCTGCGTCCTGACTATTTGCCCCTATTTACAGAGATTATTAAATTTGGATTGTAATCTTTTGCTATGCTATCGACTTCGGATCGAAATAAACTTCAAAGTACAATAAAAAAACAATCTGATGTATAATATAATCAGATTATCTTTTAATCTGAGATGGAACAAGTTTCCATTAAATGTTAATTATTGTAAAAGAGAATAATGCGATCTTGAAATTGATTTTTTTTAAAACCTACACGTTTTTACAGTTCAATTAATATAATGATATTTATTTTTAGGAAACAAGATATTATTAAAATTAAAATTCATACTGCTATCTCAACTGTGTCTGTCGAACAGCATATGGAGGATTTTATTTTGAGATTGCTTGGATTTTTTTTTTTTTTAACGGTAAACACTGTGGTAGAAAAAGAAAATATATTTATAAAATAATGTTTAAGTGGTCTTTGAAGGAAAAAAAATTGTGTTTAGGAACAATAATACTATTAAGGGATACATTATAAATGTTTATAGATTTAAAAAGAAAAGACATTGTGATTATTTAAGTCTTCATCTCAGATCACATACATAGAAAAAAAAGATCATATACAGACAAAAATATTCACCAATGAAAAAATAATATATTTTTCCATATAAGAGATGGGGGAAGTGGTCGCAAGGGGAGGGTTTCAACCCTTTGAGGTGGCGTCGAGAAAGGGGAGAACAAAAAATAAAAAGGTTTTATAAAATTTCGTTTAAATGTTATGATACCCATACATGACTGAAACGACAAGAAGCCGCTCGATGTTTCCGATACCTTCAGCACTTACTAGACAAAGCCTCTAAACTTCCAATTAATTACAAAACACTCATATACATGACTATAATAAGGCCTGTTTGGACTTACGGAGTTGAGCTATGGGGCTCCAGTAAACCATTGAATTCCTCTCGTATCCAATCCTTACAATCCAAAATCCTTCGTAAAATCCTCAATGCTGCCTACTTTGTTACAAATAAAACCATCCATAATCACCTTAATGTTTCTTATGTTTCAGATCTGGCCCAATCCAGATACATATCCCTCCATAATAAACTTCAGATTCATCCCAACCATCTCGTTTGTAATCTTGCTTCCTCTTCAATTCCTGATAACCCTCCGAGGCGTCTGAAAATAAGATGTCCCCGTGATCTCCTAATGTACACATATCATTAGAGTGCTTTTATTGAGTAGTTACTCAACAAGTGTTGTCACCTCATTATATCCATATGTCCAAATTTACTAAATGTATTTCTTTGATACAGTTGTAAATATCATTCAGAAATAAAAAAGTTATGATTGTTATCACTTTATAATACACCTGTCTGAGTATCAGAAATATCATTATATATAAGCTACCAATCATTTTGACAATTCCAGTGCAAAGTTATATCATCTTATACGCAAAGATGTATCAACTAATATATTCAATGAAGAGAATAATAGTTGAGGTGGTCAGTCAAAAAAGAAGGCAAAAATAAATGATAATATTTATTTTTGCCTTCTTTTTTGACTGACCACCCCAACTATTCTTCTCTTCATTATCCACGACAGTCAACCATTTACCAATTATAATATATTCAATAATTGATGAACACATAGGAACTACAAAGATTTTTCTTACAAAATGAGACGGCCACCGAAGCACATTTATACATCGAATTCAAACAATTCTCATACTAAAGCTCATAAAGACGAAAAAAAAACATAAGTTGCTGATATGAGTTAACTAAATTCAAACATTGTGATATTAATTCTTGCCTATCGTGTAATCTTTATAGTATACAATCGGCGTAATAACATGTAGCTATGTAAAAAGCGAACTACTGATCCCTCCGAGGCTTGGATACACATACGAAGAAGGAAAATCTTTCAACAGATAAACAAATGAATGGGCTCCAGATAAAATTTGAATCTTAATTGAATGAAACCGTTTGAAGCTGAGAGGATTACCATATCTAGGAAATCTAATCCATTGAGCAAACAACGTTTAAATACCAAGGATTCTCTGTTAGCCACCAATGAAGATCCCAGCACCTGCTCACTCTGGGCAGACGTCCTTGCCGACAAGAGAGGAAGCAGGAGATCCGCAGTCTGGAGAGCCCTCGGTAATTAGTATATAACAAAGCCAGGGAGCGGCTATCTCCACTGTAATCTGGGGCCGCTACCGTGTCCGTTCTGGTATGGCACACTCCGCCTCCTTCAGCTGCTCTGGGGCCATGTCTTCGCCGGGGTCTCCGCGAGGAACCATGGCCCGTGGCTTCCGAGCAGCTGTCCGAGGATGAGCACTAGCGAGCATGCGGGTCGTCGGGGCAAGAAACTGGACAGGACTAACCACCTGCTCTTTTACATTACATGCACTCCGCGAATATTCTTGAGTTAAAGGAATCAAGTGTAATCCCTCAAAGAATTTATATGTATATATCATAAGAATGATATGGCATATAAATTCATTTTAAGATTAAAATGACTGTTCTACATAAAACTGATTCAATATGTTTCGAGGGTTACCAGAAATATAATAGCATACCAGTTATCAGGTATTAAGAATACTAATCATAATTGCCAAAGTAGGGTTGGTGAATAATGGATTTCATCAATGTTGGACCGATTTACTTAGCACGCTAGTTTAAACTAATTATGTGCTTTTATTACATCGATTTTAATAAGAATTAACAGTTTATTCAACAATACACTCCAAAATATAGGCACAATTTTCTATAACTTAAAGCCATTGAACGATACTTATTTTCAAGCTTTGTGTTGCCCACACCTAAACCAAATCACTCCTGCCAGTATATAAACTAAGATTTTACTCTCACCATTTAACTGGTTGATGAAACTTCATCATTGTAATCCGATCTAAATCGTGTTAAAATGCATACACATTGATTATTAAGCCTGGTTTTGTCATTTATCTCTATAAAACTCACCAAAACTATACAAATGGTATAACTTGAATGACCTTATACACTTCTTTTTTGTTTTGATGATGGAACGGAAATCTCTGAGGATGATTAATTTTCAGGATGGCATTCTCGATTCGTTCTATACAGCTTGCACGACGTTTCAACTCTACCCTCTGCGTCACATCAGAGTATGGGTAGCTGTCGGGTCTAGCATAGAAGTAGCAGTAAGTAGCATGAAGATACCGGATAGTAACTTTGTCAAGTTTAATAAAATAACTCTATGCAGCAAATCCTAATAATTTAAAAATATGTAAAACTCTTTTTGTGGTTTCATTGCCTTTCAAAAGTCAATGTAGCGGTTGCGATAGTTCACAATTATTCTCCAAGCCGCAAAGAACGATGTCAGAATCAGGAAGACAGCGAATGCCACAACCGTCAACTCTCTAATCTGCATCCACACCTGGGGATACTTTCCCTTCTCAGTGCGGACTTCTTTCATCTACCTGTCAAATGAAGAGATTGTATGACTTTAACTGACAATGATGGGACAGGGTTTAATAAATTCAAAGTTAATAAATCGAAGAGCTTTAAAGTATGACGAGAACTAAAATAAGTTTTATCACACAATGGAATCATAATTAAGTCTATTCAGAACACCTTTAAATCACTTACGTAAGAAACCACCATTAGACAAGTTACGTGAAAGCCGCTTTTAATGAAACACAAAATTTGAAGAAAAAAAAATCGAAGTGGAATGGAATGATTCTGGGCATTTAGTCGTGATCCTTGCGCACGAAGACATGATACCGCCGATCCTGAAAGTTATTGGATACGGGATACGTGCTCGCAAGATGTGCATGACCGTTCCCGCAGCTTATCCAGCTTTCTCCTTTCGCTATAAGCTTTAGTTCCATTTTCACACAACTGATGTCTTGTAAGCGAGTAGTGTTGCCCAAATGCGAGACCGAGACGATTCTTGGTCTTGCAAACTCAGTCTTCGTCATGTTCTTGCGCAAGAATCTCTCAACAGTCTTGCAGTTACTTATTAGCTTATTACTATAGAGATATTACTGTATTTTTTTAGATAGGATAAACCTAGCTAAATGCGAATGACAAATTAGAGGAGTTAAATGCAAAAGTATATTGGTTATACCAATTATTAACATATAGTAACAAAGATTGTCAAGCATTAGTAACTATTTTGTCTTACTTTTTATTTAAAAAATCGATTTTTTTTACCAGTCCTGGTCTTGATCTTGCAACAGTTAGGCGGCCTTGGTCTTGGTCTTGCAAAGTGCAAGAGCAAGACCGATTTTGGGCTACACTATAAGCGAGTATGGATAACATCACATACATAGTTATAATAATAACACTGTTCTGCATCAAAATCCTCCGTTTCACTGAAATGTCGTAGTTTTATGTTTTGAGAATTCTTGAACACGAATCCAAAGGCAGAAAATCTCTATTAGGCGCCATTTTATGTCAAGTTAAAAAATAAAAATTGATTTTAAAGCTATTACAGCATGACAACATTCCGAGAGCCCAAGTGTAAGATTTTTTTGCCACATATCCGCGCTCTATTTAAGGACCAGGAATTCAAGGAAAATTTTAATGAAAATAAAAAAAGAGCTTGGCCAGCGATTGAAAACGTGTGTCAACAACTTTCGGCCAACAAAAGAATTGTTAAAAAATTGCTTTCATTTTATGCTTTTATCTTATGGATCCATCAAATCTGGTCCATTATAATTTTGAGAATCACAGAGATGTGTTAATATTCCAGAAGCCTTGTATTATATACCGATAAAAAGAATATATTGGTTATAGTTCAAGATGGCAGACTATCAATAACCAAATATTCACCGCCGTATCGGTGTAACCGATATGAAGTTTGAAATAAAATACAGCCATAAACTTTACTATTTATTCGAATCAGTTTATATTGAAGATGTCACATTTAAAGGAGCTGTGAAGAACGCTATAAATAGAGGATTCTAAAAGCCATACACATTTTTTTTTTAAAACACACAGGATTACATGTAACGATCTTTAAGGTAATACTTTTCGAGGTACAGTTTTGAAGTACAATTTCCTGGTCGAATAAGAAACGTGAAGCACCTATTAAAGTTTCGCATGAGCTATGTTAGCGATGATCTCAGGGTTTTAATAGGATTCGGTTAAGTTGTAATAAGGAACCTAGGGTTTCCACTTAGACCAATTATGTTTAACCTTTGGCGTGGCTGCCTGGATATAAATTGGAAAGGATAACGTATTTTCATCTAACACGAACTGAGTAGGCAGGTGGTGTACGAATGAGTACGATCTCCAGAATTGATCCTTCGGAAAAAATTAGGTTTAGAAACCAATTATTACTATTTTCAAACATTTTAAAGTGAAAACGGTCAAAGTGGTGGTTGATCGCGAAACCTACAGATTTTTTTTTTCCTCCAAACCGTAATCTTCAACAGTAATTTCAGTATTTTCAAGAACTACTTATGAAGTACGATTAAAGGTTTCATAACCCCACTTCTCCGCATTACACCAATTACTTGAAATATTAAAAAGGGAATAATCATAAGAAAATCAATCTAAATAATTTTTCAATTTATTTCATTCGTATATCTAAACAATTTTATTAAACAAAATTGTAATCATTTGTAGCCTTTTTTTTATTACACCAGTTGATTTTTTTTTTTTTTTACTTTTTATTTTGTGTGCTATTTGGGAAAATGGTTTTTCTATGAGATACCAACCCACAACCTGTATTGTCCATATCGTAGACTGCTTCCTTTAAAAAAACCTTTATAATGCCACCTTATTATGGAACTGCTTACCTATCCGCGCAAAACCTCATATTTAACTTCATTTAGACACAAGTAATTTTTTCATCACCCCAACAATAAATCTTCATAAAATAAAATATATATATATATATAAATTAAATTTTCGAATTTTAGTATCGCCAGCCTTATTTTAATGTTATTTCGAAGTTATTACCTACAAATTGGTTTTCCAATACAAATATGTAAATATACTGATTTTTTTTATCAATAATTTCATTATTTCCTTTTTTTTATTTATGTTGTCCTTTATTTTAATTTAAAGGCTAAATAACTCTCTAATTTATTTATTTATTTTATTACCAATTTTTGCTAGATTAATGTTACTTCTTTTATTCATTTTCATTATTCTTAGTTGACTAAACGTCCCAGAGAAATTTACTTCCAGTACCTTCTTTTGTCAGTCAGTTCTCTTACTTCAGTCCTAATAAAATCTTTTGAAATTTATATTATATGCGTCATTATTGTCGAATATTTTATTACATGACTAGTAAAACATAAGAATAAATACATAACCACCTTGTGTAAATACAGACATCTAATAAAAAAAACAAAAAAAAAAAAAACAGACTCTATAACTAATGGTATTATTAAAATAGTAATTCCAAACACGGAAAGAAGATAGAAGTTCTTAAAATTTAAAACTGTTTATTTATATACAACGTCTTTATTAAATTGCAATAAGACTGTCTTTTCTCTTTTTATAAGATATTCAGTAAACCTGTCTAGCTAGCCCATAATTCAAAACCAAAAGCGACATTAGAGTGATAAACTAACTAATGATAATTGTCATAAGGGGATAATAATTTGAGGAAATTAATTTTCTCCTTAAGGCCAAGCTGATATATGCAGAGGACCAATTGCATGCAATAAATTGCACCAGAGATGGCCGCGCAAGTGGATCGTATAAATAAATAGGATTCGAGTGGGACAAGGCCTCCGGTCGTCCTTGCATCTGTCCCCGCGAGGCCTCAGTGTCTAGCCAGTCACCTGGGCAACTGACATCTCTATTGTGTTCTCCGAGGCTCTCTAATACATTGTTAGGCGTACAGGAGCGAGAAGATGGATTGAATCGGCCGAGAGTGTACTTTTTGTAACTGAAAATAAAAATATTGACCAACACGAAGAATAAAGCAATGTACAAGAAAGGGATATACCAAACCAATCGTCGCTGGGGCTTTAAGACATTGTGTCGTTTACCTCCGGGCTACAGATTTAATAATTAAGAAATAAATTTTAATAACTCAAAATTATGGAATATTGGCTCTCCTGAACAAATAGGAAAATGTGACATGGAATCTTTTGCCTCCATTGTACATATTTAGTAACTAGGACACGTTTTTCAATGGCTTTACTGATAATAGCAAAAGAAGTTGTGTTTGGTAATTTTAGAACCAGAAGTTCAAGATAATGTTCATATTGATAAATATGGGGAAGGAGGGAGGGAATGAATATTATATTGATTTCTGTAATACGAATGAAAACGTTAATAAGTCCAACAATTTTACAAGCTTATTTGATTCACAGTGATTAAATTACCTCAATTATATTACCCGGATACAGTTCACGCAATTCGGCGTTGTGAGAATTAACTCATCCTTCTTCGGTCCGAATATTCTTCGCAATACTTTTTTTTCAAAAACCTTAAGACGCTGTTCATCCCTTAATGTAAGAGGCCAAGTTTCGCATCCATAAAGAACTGTAGGTAAGATAATGATTTTATAGATTCTAATTTTTAGGTTTCGGGACAAGAGGCGCGAGCTAATTAGTTTTGTCATAAAATAACAAGCATTTCCCGCCTTCAGTCTAACCTTAATCTCTTTTTCAATTTCGTTTTTTCTAATTATCGTAGAACCTAGATACCTAAATTTCTCTACCTGTTCAAACATAGTACCATTTATATTGATATCACCATTTTTGCAGCTAACCATATATTTTGTTTTATCAGCGTTTATTTCGAGACCTAGTTCTTTACTGGCTTTCATTAACGTTGTCGTATTTAGTTTTAAAGTTTCCACTTCTTCGCTTAACAGTACCAGACCATCAGCATAGCCCAGCATGGATGTTGTCCCACCCAAGAGTTTTCAAAAACTAACATTAATATCTTATAAATGCAATAAACAAGGAATTTAATTTCAACAATAATAACAATCAAATGCATGACAACAATAAAAACAAACGTACAATAAATAAACATGAGATCTTTGCAATGTGGCCTGCTGCACATAATTGCTTAAGGCTTTCCAGTTAGAACCCTTTAATAAACCAAAATATTATTCTCTTATCTCACTGTACATGTGACAAGACCATAAGAAGTGATTTCTGTAATATATTACACACATAGAAACAATTTACATGGTCCTATTACATATAACTGATTGTCCATTCCTTAATTTAATCTCACTATCCTATCATATTAATCTAGAAAGTGTTTTATACATTCAATAGAACGATTAAAACATTAATTATTACTATAATAGTACCTATAATATAGCAGCCGAATTCCGATTCGGCTAAAAATAATGTTTAATTCATCTTTTTCTGTGTCCATGAAAACACGTGTTACAAGATAAGTGGAACCATAAATAACAGGTTGAAAAAGAATATACCAACCAGAACGTGGAATTTATTGCTCAAATAATCAAGACAATATTCACTCTCGGTAATGACTTAGAAAATAACAATCCAGTTATTTTCCATATTGTTATATATTATCTTCCATTAAGAATAATGAGAAAAGTTCATTTATATTTATTTGAGTCTATAATATAATGATTTATTATCTATAAATTGTTTTGTTTAGTTTTAGTTCTTCGAAGCTAAGTTGTTGAAGTTTTGTATTTATTGTTGTTGTCAACAACAGTTGAGCTCCGTGAATAAGCTTTGTTAATTTTATATACTGAGTCATCGTTTCCAAGGAGATAAAAAAAGACGCACTATCCCATTTTTATGCATCCGTCGTAAAAGCGGTTGGAATTTCGACATATATATATATAAAAACTTTATCTTTCCTTTATATTTATAATTGTTAACTTTATTACTGTCTTTAGTATTTGACAGTAAAAAGACAAAAATGTTTCACATATAAGCATTTTCGTGTGTGAATATTTAACGATTATAAATAAAATCAAGCATATATGAAGTTTAAAAAATTTGAGTAAAAAATTTATTTGAGTAAAAATGTATTTATGGCTTTCTTCCTTTTACAAAGATCGTCCATCTATTGAGGTACTGCATTTCTTAAACGTTGAGAAAAGGTACATAAAAAAAATTAAAAAATCCTGAGTTTTCCATTATTCACGTAAATTTTTTCAAATACATTCTCACCAATTAGAAAAACAAATCAAAATTAAAAGGTCACACGTAAAGCATTTATGATGTAAACGTTTATGGATTGTGAAGTTACCGTCCAGGAAGTGAAAAATCGATGTTTCTGTAAACTAATTTCAAAGCAATAAGGATCATGTTCAAGTAATATAAGTTAAAAATTTATTTTAATTAAAAAGTATAATAAAATATAATATAAAATAACGTAAATTATCAAACTATTTTGATTGAAACTATTTGATGTTTTATCAAACATTTTATTTAATTATAGGCAAATTATTGAGGAGATTAGTTCAGCGTGAAAAATTGAACCCAAACCTACAAGGAGATTGTGGCTGTCATTACTTCGAGTCTGGTAAAGAAAATTTATTTTATGTTGTCATCAATGGATTATTCTGAGGTAAAAGATCGTACCGGGGCACACCCAGCCTCTTTAAGATTAATCGTGACTTTTTTTGAGCATGCCCTCACAATAAATATACTTCATAAATTGTATTGGTAGTTTTTTTTTTTTTTTTTTTTTTTTTTTTTTTTTTTTTTTTTTTTTTTTTTAATAGCTGATTGACATTTTTACAACAATAAATGCCTCTTTGCCAAACAAAATATATGTTTTATTTCTGTCAGATAAAGCAATAGTTTAAGCTATGAGTTTATCAATCCCGCCCCACTTATATTATTTATCTATGAGCAATTGAGCGAAATTCAAAAGCCGTAAATTAAAAGAATTAGTGTACAGAACAATCTCACAGTTCTCGACTTCACCGATTTTCCGATGAGGTAAAAAACTACAAGAAGCTGAAACCGCTTTAAGTAGTTAGATAAGCAATTACAGACCAAATGACAGTTATTTGAATGTTTCCGGTCACTTAATGTTATTTCGGTTTATATTTTATTTAATTCTGTGTTAAGAAATAAAGGACACCATGTCCATTATTTAAATAAATAATTTAATAACTAAGAAACAAATTTAGATAGCCCAAAGTTATGGACAATTGGCTCCCGTGAATGGATACAAAAAATGGACATGGTCTCTTTTATCTCCGACTTAATGAATTGAATTTGAATGCATAATTATTATTTTATTTTTAATTAATCAATTAAGACAGTGAAACTATTATAGGATAAATTGAGATGAATGGTTAAAAAAAAATTTAAATGTATGTATACATATTTCTTACTCACGTTAATCACTTATTTCTAAGCACTCCTAGTTTTTTAAATCAAAACCTTGGTGGCTCTATGGAACCATTTATGTTCCACGCATAGAGGAAGTGATCGCCAGAAGTGAGTTTTCCTTGGAATATGTAAATATTCAAAATGAAGGTGATAAGGATTCATATATCACAATTAATATTAATAAAATTAATACTGATTGGAGCCCATATTTAGTAGAAGAAAGAAGCTTGGGAATTATATAAATACTATTACTATTTTTTAGTATCTAGCAAAAGGTATTTCACGAATATATATCCAGATCCTTAATGAAGGAAGTATCCTGACTATGAATGGACCACAGAGGGTCATCAAGTATCAGTGTTGCCATCAGAAGCCACTAACAATGGGATCCTGGCCAGTTACGCAACCACTTCCTCAACCACACGCTGATAATTCAGACTTCTTTCTCAGGGTTGAAGCTCGATTCATAAACATATCATTCAATGCCAGAATATTCTTTCGGAATCTTATCTGGCAATCTTTGGAGGTCGTTTCGGCATCTTGGATTCGATTTCTTTCTGCCCAATCCATGGGGTTTGTTTATTTTTTATTAATGAGATATTTATCAATAAGGATTTAATAAATTATGTCCATTATTTTTCAGCCTCTTTTTGAACTTAAAAAAAAAAAAAAAATTAAATTTCAAGGAGATCTGAAACCGGCGGTGGACCGATGAATTATAATCCTAAGAAAAATATTCAGCTTAATTAATTTTAAATTCATATTTTCAAATTCGCCTTAAACTTAAAAAGTCAAAAATATTGTGTTGTTTGGTTCAAGGAATGGCCAGTTAAACTAATGAGAAGGAGTATAGACAAATCAGAATAATTTAGAATTTATTTTCTTTGAGAAAAACTATATTCGCTTTTTAACCAAGATTTAATAGTACACTGATTTTTTTTAATTGGGATATTTTTTGTTTACCATTTTGCCATATTTAACTCTTAATAGCATTTCTCTGTGAACTTTGGGCCTGACATTCCACGATTTTAAAATATGTAACATGGAAGTGTAAGTCAATCCTTTTTATCAAACTATTAATATCCGTCTAAAACTTCGTGAAAACATTCATCTTATCGTTTTTGTTTAAGAATATTTTCGGAATTGGAGCGTTTTCAATTAGGAGAACGGCACATTTTGTTTATTTAATAGGTACTAAATCTGATGAACACCCATTTTCTTTCCACGTGAATCTTTTCGTGAATAAATTTGATCACAAAATCGAGAAAAAAATGTGGTATTCAAAAATATTGATCAGTTTGGCGTTACCTCCACATCCAGCCCGTCTAAATAAATAGTTTTTTTTTCGGTTTTGTGATTTAATTATCTTACGATTCAAGTAAAAAACAAAAGGGTATTTATGAGTTATTAGTATCACAATAAATTAATTAATTTCATACGATCAAACGCCATATTTCTGAAAATTCTGTAAATAAAAAATTGTAGATTACGATAAAATAAAGCCATATATAAAGTTCTAGGTAGATGTTAATAATTAGATAAAAAACAGGATTTATACCGCAGACTATGGGCTATTTTCCACAATTATCATTTTATTGAATTTTGAACTGGCATGGTCTACATCGTTATTCCTTCAGTCGCTCTAGTCGTATTTAAAAACCGCCTTCAACTATATGATATTTTTTTAAATATTTAATGTATCTCGTTTTAAATATATGACTAAAATTACGCTGAAAGAATACGTTTTAAATTATCACTCAACAAAGTCAATATTCGTCCACGTACTTCCTCATATGCTGGAGGAAGTCTTATAGAAAGTATTATTAAGAATCACATCCTGCGGCTATGACATTACTTTTATCGAACTTGCAGACTTCGATTCCGAATTAAGAACTCATATTTTGCCTAAATTCCTGATAAGTGGGATGTAGCTAGTATGACCGAGAAGCGTTTTTAAATAAAAATAAAAGCTGGAAAGAGGCCACAGATATATTTACCATAAGCATGCATCAGCACAGTGTTCCTCTTCAGCTGGAAGTTTTGCAGAAAGTATTGTTAACAATCTCATCCTCCAGCTCCAGTTTATGGAACATGAAGAAATTGGTTCCGAAATAAGAAGTCTTATCGCAATTTGTATTTTTGGTACTTATATGTGATATCTTATCTTTTTAAGTATGAATTGGAAACATTGACAAGAAATCTAAATGTATAATAAGCATTCTAAGCATAACTAAAATATTTTATTGGTTGCGCATTCAATACGCATACCCCCGGCATAGGAACATCCAAATGCTGTCATTGAGCAAGGCTGGGATTAAAAAAAAAAAAGTAAAGTTCTTGCAGCTTGTTTGCTTATGCTATATAAAAAGTGTTTGTACCGGAAATATAACTAATTATGGTAAGGATAGAATCACTTTGCTCTGACTATAACAACTAATTATAATATTGTATTCTTGACACGATAACTGGTTAATAATTCTTGTTGATTTGGGATACATGAGGATACTGTGCAAGAATATTTCAAACAAAATTACTAATATCGTAGCTAAATATTGTTATTGTTATATTTGGTTTATTTTCAACTTACGTATTATTGGTGACGGTGTCAACTATATTTTTTATGTTATTCGTGGCCATACTTATTTTAAACATGATATGGATAGCATTACTAAAAAAATTTAATGAATTTTTCATGAACATTGTTCTTATACAATTTCCCTTACTACTAAGATAGTTACTAGTACGATTAATAATAATATCAGGGCAATAAATAAACTTTAATTTCATATGGTTATCAGAGAGGATTAACTTCTTGTACTCGAATCTAGACAAATCTGCTCTCGTAACGACAAGCTTGATCACCGGAGCCAGGGAAGCTGGGTATTACATCTGATAAGTTGTCTACATAAGAGTACCCCATGAGTTCATCGTCGGAAAAGTCCTCGTTCATGCCCATGTCGTTGTTCCTCAGCCTGGCATGCATCTCCTCCACCTCAAGTAACCTTAACGCGTAGAATATCTGGCCGTTCGGTGTGGGTACGCAGAACTGCAAACAGTTAAATCATTGGAAGGTACATTTTGTTCTATCATAATTATTATTCAAGTATTGATATGATTCTGCGTAATCATAAGGTAAGGTTTGTTTATAGTATGATGTTAGATGAATCTTGTGTCTAGTTTAGTCGTAATTCAAATTACTGGTCTGATCTTTTAATACAAGATTAATATTACAACCACACCAAATTATGACATATAAACGAGATGGGACTGTATATAAGTCACTTTTAAATATATCGATTACTAAATTTATAATTGGATTACTTGAACTACAATGAATACTAAATCATATACAAAAAAAAAGTGCGCATAAGCGTATTCTGGCTAAAACCTATACATCAAGCATATATCAAGTGCCTTTTTATTTGTTCCTTGAAAGCTTAATGTCCCTAAGGAACCAGCACCAAATCCTCACCCCTCCACAAACCACTGACCAGTCGACTTTTTGCCTCAGGGCACAGCTGGCGATGGCTAAGGACGCATCAAAGATCACGCCATCCCCTCCCTTGTCGGCGATACAACCCCTAGAGGTCCCCTCAGGGACATGCTTTCAACATTTGTTGGGGTAAGTATCCACATTACAAACGGGTTGGGTTTTTTGTTTATTGGGTAATAATGGTTACCCACCACAGTAAGTTGTTAACCTGCTTTACAAAGCCCTAAATTATTAAGGTATACATGTGTCAACAACAATCAACAAATAATTAATGGTTTAGTGAAACATATTACTTTATTATAAAGATTTTTGAAGTACGTTCAAAATGATTAAATAATGCTCTGAAAGGAAATAAATCTAAATAGTTATAGTTTTGGTATAAATCTAGTAGTAAATGGTTTTGGTATTTTTTTCTTCTAATCTCGTATGGTATGGTATGGTCATTGTCTTTTGCAGTTTGAACCCTGCAATGTTTTGGAAGTCATCCCTGTTCCGGACCCAAGCATGGATCGGGCATCCGCAGTTACATCATCTATTCACTACAACTTTGGACTTCCTTTCCTTCTTTTGGCAAAGATTTTTTTCAAAATTATGTTTTTTGGAAACTGATCTTCAAACATCCATCTAAACCAACTTGCTTTAACAAAGGTCAGTACTTCAGCATCATAATATAGTTCCAATAATTTGGAATTAATCCGCTGTCTCCAGATTCCATTTACAAATATTATTCAAGGAGAATTCGGTCGCAGGTTGCGGACAAAGTTGCAAACTTAATATATGAGAATTATGTTTATTTGTCGCTTACGCTTCGATTTACGCTGTAGATACGAATAAGTCTTCGTCATGGCTGTCTAGCAATGTTGGAGGAAAACGGATAGCTAAGAACAAATCAAAGATCACGCAATCCCATCTCGTTTCGGCGATAAAACCTATGATGATCCTCTTCGGGACTACTTGAGTAGTCTCTGTGGATAGCCCTCAAGAAGACTTACAACGTAGGTCGAAACGTAGACAATAAATAAATATAATTTTCATGTATTATTATGTATGTGAATTTTGATTGCATCGGAGCTTTGATCAATAATTCTCATAACATTGTAAATTTAATTCATTAAGTATCAAGTTGAGCTATGTTTTTAGAACCATAGTGAAATAGTTGTTAACCTTCTCTATTGTTTCCTTCTCACATAAAAACTTTCTAATGGATTTAATTTCTAGTGGTTATTCCAAAGGAGCTATTTCAACGAATAATGTCGAACCCTCTTCAAGTAACAAATAACTGTTTTTTTGCAGTTTATTTTGAAAATAGTCAAGTTAACTTTATGAGGATAAATAGAAGCAAATTAGACTAACTCTAAAACAATTTTAATTAAATCCATTTTTACTATTTAATGCGGTCATATTAATTAATACGAGTCATCCGTAAATGAATAAAATTGACGTAATTTCGCCTTCAAGTGTTTTCTATTGAATAAATAGTACTTTTCAGTTTAAACTAAAACAAGTTGATGTGCATTGAGATTTTGTATCACATGACAAGACTGGCGGATCAATGGGGTAGGAGAGGGAGGTTTTGTGGTATACCTCCACCAAGAAAATATTTTTGTTTATTGGCTCATATTTGTTTTATATTTAGTAACGCAAATACAAAGTTCTTTCTTGTTGGTATTAAAGACCATGTTGATCTTTTGCTGCCTTAACAAGCCGGTTACATCTCTGCCTGTCTTGGGCGATTTCTTTCCTGTTATTGCACGCAGATCTATTGCATCTTTGTTGATTCTATCTATCCATCTGCTTTTTGGCCTTTCACCTGGTCTTTTGCCTTCTATTGAGAAATTCATTGTTACGTAGAGGATTCCAGAGGGATACGAGCTATATGACACACAAATCTTAACCTCCGTGGCATCTTATTGATTGACTCATGGGATATTGATTGACCAGTTAAGCAGTTTTTTATTGGTCATTGGTTTCTTCTCGATGTAATCATTCGTTGATAACGATTTCATCAGTATTAGATATATAAATTTTAATTACATCTGAAGGTATCAGAACAACATGGATATGTTACTGGAGTACACTCCAGTAAGAAGCCATCACCAGCGAAGTCGCCTAAGGCCATTGAGTCGCCATGGACCTTCAACTTTCACCCGAGCACACGTGGCTACGCAGCTGCAGCTCTGGTGCTCTCTCGTTTACGATCCTCGAAAGTATGCCTCACGATTCAGCTCCAAACATTAAAATCATGCTTAGGGAGCATAAAGAGGTCACGGCTGAGAAAATCTGGTGTCGGAATAAGATGCTTCCTTTTAAATGTTTTTTACGCGCGTGTTGTAGGGTGCAGTGTTAAAAGGAATCTTCGTAATGGCTTCATGTTTCATACATTCAAATAATCAAAGACTGGCATATTTAAATATTTAATTTGATAAGTAAATAGATATACTTTTTGGGAAGGATTAAATGGCTTAGTTTTGAAACTATTTTGAAAAATGAAGTGATGGCTAAAAATAAATGAGTTAAGATTATTTATAGATCTGTAAATATTGGCCATTGGAGAAACGAATAAATTAAATATAGAGAACATTCCAAAATCTAGATAATCTATCGATAAAAGCTTTTAAAAGATTTTTATACAAAAAAAAAATAAAATTCATTTAAACTGGGTCACATATGTATTGACCCGTTGGGCCATTTCGCCGATATAATATCATTATTTTGACATTTTGGGGAGTGGAGGTCATGCCAAACGGCCCCAAATTTTTGTACGCCACATAGTAAAGTAAAATTTTTTTTTTTCGTTTTTGTGATGATATTTTCTTACGATTCAAGTGGAAAAAAAATAGGTACTTATAAGTTTTTAGTACCTAATTAAATAGGCAAACTTTGAATATCTTCAGATTGGACACGCTCCAATTGCGATAATGTTCGCAAATAAAATATTTTACGATAAAAAGGCTACCTTTCATCGAGAAAAAAGGTGGCCTTCAAAAGTTTTCAGCCGTTTGGCATGACATACACCCACAACTAGTCAAAATAACGAGGTTATATAGGGATAAACGGCCCAATATTTTTGTATGCCATCTTTTACATAGAGTTTGTGATAAAATTATCTTTCGATCTAAGTGGAAAGCAATTGGGTATTTACGAGTTTTTAGTATCTAACTAAATAGAAAAAGCTTGCCGACCTCCAGATTGAAAACGCCCCAATTCCGAGAAATTTCGTAAATAAAATATTTGTAGGTTACGATGAAATGAAACTATTTACAATTTTTCAGGCGGATGTTAATAATTTGATAAAAGGAGGTCTATACCACGGACTATTAGTAAGAGGTGTTTGAAATAGATTCATTTTTATTTATTTTAAGGTGAAATTAGTAAATTCGTCATATTAGGTTTAGACTGTATTCATTCCACCACCATTGCCAGTACAATAAGAGAAGAAAAATAAATATGGTGGAATAAATACAGCGTAAACCTTATATTAGATTCATTTTGTTTTTCATATATATTTTTTTAAGTAATCTCAATATTCAAGGTCATTTTTGTTGACATAAACTAAAATAAAATCAATTCGTATTTTAGTATAGTTGGCAAAGGTTCTTCCTTATAATAATAAACTTCAATCTGATCGGTCTTACTTTATTATTTTCAAAACCTAAGTTTCAGACCGCAAGGCCATCTTCAAGAAAAGACCTTGTTGTAACTAAAATCATTTGGGTTTATGGATCCAATTCTTAATTTATCATTCAATACAATAAGAATAAGAATGATAAAGGGATGAAGCATTGTTAGTGTTGAAAATAATTAACACCTTTTTTTTATTTATTTAATGAAATTTACAACTAGTAAAAATGCACATGTTAGAAATCATGACATGAACAGACTTGAAGAGATACTGTCCAGTGGTAGCACTCCCTATTTAATTCTAGCTGAGAAGATCACGAGGCCTTCTTCTTTTCAGACGCCTAGGGGGATTATCAGGAATCGAGGAAGAAGCAAGGCTGGAAACAAGTGGATTCGGATGGGACTGGAGTTTATCATGAAAGGATAGGTATCTGGCTCGGGCTAAATCAGCGGCATATGGGACATAAAGGTCTTTATGAATGGTTTTATTTGTGACAATATATGGGACAAAAATAATAATCACAAGTCGTTCAGATTGAAGTTTATTATTAAAAATAAAACAAACTATTTTTTGGATATCATAAATCTTAATTCATAAGTAATAATTCATACTACTTACGTTGGAATATCCTGCCTTCATTGTGTAACTTGGACCTGAAATGGAAATTACAAATATTAGCGGTAAAGATACAATCTTGTTAATTATTCAGAATATCAAGAAGCAAATAAGATGGCGGTTTGTTGTACGTGTATCGGATTTAATTAAGTAATTTTTCAAAATTTATGAAATATTGTAGTCCTTTGGGTTCAGCTTCTTTTCTGTTTTACTTTTGAGATGATATTTAATCCTACAGATAAAGTAGAATTAATTATAACAAACCGACACTGTGTTAATAAATTTTAATATTCGAGATATACGGTAAAAATCTCCCTATCACTGACCTGTCTCTAACATCTTTAATAACTTTTACATAATAATAATAGTAATAATAATCATAATACAGGTGGGTATGGAGTGTTAGCTGGCACCGAATATCTTCAGAGGAATAACAATCAGGCTAAAATTTTTCACCAGACTCTCGTTGTGGAACTCAACTTATTAGATGACAAAATTTCATACTACAAGTACCACCCAAATAAACTCCTCCAAAAAGGTAGTCTCAAGCTCTATTGGGATGAATCGATTATTAATGACCATATTGTGAGTCACAATAAACTGAAATCCTCCTGATAGATATGAGAGGGAAAAAACCAAAGCTTATGGATGTAGGGATCCATAATGATAATAATATAAGCTCCACTGTTGGAGAAAAACTGAGAAAATACCAGGAACTGGCAATCGAATTGAATGAATTATATCATTTGGGGAACGTCACCACCATTCCAATTATAATATCCTCCAATGGATTGAAGTCAATAGTGCCGAAAGAGGCTCAAAACTCAATTCTCTTAGACACAGCACGTATTGTTAGAAAATTTTTAAACATCTAAAAAAATAATAAATATTAATATGAAGGTGGCTGAACTTCTGGTCTCCTACCTCAGAAACTCACCCCGCAAAGCGAGAATTAAGAATAGAAATAATAATAATAAAATAGGAAGTATCAAGGTCTAACAGTTGAGTTAAAAAGTTTGTATAAACTTAATAAAGTAACCGTTAGGGGCGTTGTGATCTCCAGCAATGGCCTGGTACCGGTATCTACTGTGGAAGCTACTGACAGGCTGGGCCTCCCAACTCATGTAATAAATGAAGCTCAGAAAGTGGTGCTCTTGAATACTGCCAGAATTGTAAGAAGCTGTCTCAACATCCAATTGAAATTAAAATAGAACATACCTGAGATGGTTGGAGTTGATTCTCCACCTCTCAAATAAACAAAAAACCTTTTCTATAATTGTTGTCAAATAAACAATACTAAAGTATAATAAACGTGACTAAAGAAAGTTTAGTGTAAATGAACCCAGTAGTCGAAAAACTCAAATAAATAATAAATAAACTTTATTAATAAACAAAATACGAAATCCAATTCATCAAACTGTCATCGGTCATGAGTGTTACTATAAAAATCATAGGTCATATTTAATTAATACACATGATGTTCATGTCCATTCATGTCATTTCCTTTAAAAAATATATAAGAATCATGGATTCAAGGAAGTACAAGAAATCGAACATTAGAATCAAATATAAGAAATCCCTCTATGTGGTATTGGGGTCAAAAATAATAAAATATATAACATTTTAAACAAACATCAAAGAAACGCGTAGAGAATCACTTAGATAACAGTTTGTCAGTTTAACATAAATCAAATAACGTTCTTAGTTTTTTTGTGATTGAAATCTTATATTTGTCAAAAATAAATTTATAAACGCTTTCCCAATATATCAATAATTACCAATATACCAATAAACTGACCACTGTACTATAAACTGACCAATATACCAATATACCAATAATTACCAAACGGAAGTAAAATTCGAATCAGATAAGTCAAAAGACAGAGATCTATGAATAATGGAAGTGAACACGACCAAGTCAAATAGTGTCGATGTAATTTTAACTAGTCTGATATACCCTATATATATATATATATATATATATATAACTGAGAACAGCATTATTTTCAAATAATACGTCACTTGAAATTCCTGACACTTAAAGATGGGGTTGTGTTAATATTTCTATACTTTCAGCCATTTAAGTAGGCGGTGTCCTTTTTTAAATCAATGAACATTTTACGACGTTATTAGTTTTGATTTTTGTTTGTTTTTTTAAATAAAAGATGGGTCATTTTTACTAAATACCGCCAATCACTTTTAGTAACAGTGACTTTCAGTTTAGTAAAATAACAGTTATTATTTAGAAATCATATGTCATAAAAAGAATAAATGTTTTATTGAAAATTAATATTAAACAATAGATAGACACAAAAGAGGTTAACTTTGGGAATAACAAATATTCAAAAAATTTAACAATATTAAGCCTGACTTTGAAGCAAGGACCTTGTTACATTTGATTTTAATCGATTCGATTGAATATTCCGATTGTGAATATCTTTTCACAGATGGGTCAAAAACTTATGATGGAGTCGGTGCGGCCACTGTTTCTGACAATGTGCAAATGTTCTCATTACCTTCTTATTGAACTTCTTACCATGCAGAACTGTTTGCAATAAATCGTGCTGTTTGTAGTCTTAACTGCAATAACTAGCAAATTTATATTTGTACAGATTCAGAATCTGTACTTAAAGCTATTAAAAATTCATTATCAACTAACTCATTAGTCACAGAAACAGTTAGGCATATAAAAAAAACTGAAGAGTGTAGGATGTAAAATACAATTTTTGTGGTTATAGGGTCACTCAGGTATTAGACGTAATGAGCTAGCCGATATCATGGCAAAACAAGCAATCACGGAAGAAACTCCAGTAGAGGATGCTTTTCCAAAACAAGTAGTAGCTTTGATAAAGAGAAAGGCTCTGGAGAAATGGCAGGGTCTCTGGCATGTTTTAAGAGACAATAAGTTGAGAGTAATCGAGCCCTATGTAGTCCCAAATCGAGCAGATCTCGAGTTGAATAGAAGAGAAGAAATAATCCTGACAAAGCTCCGAATCGGCCACTCACGGCTAACTCATGAGTACCTAATGACAAAGGGGACACCCCCTCAATGTCTCTGCTGCGGGGTCAATTTAACAGTGAGGCACATTTTGACTGAATGATATTCCTATGAAGAACAATGGAATGAAGTTGAATTGGAGAAGGATATTACTGCAATTTTGAAAAACACCAACAAATTGGCAAAACAATTGTTTACATTCCTTAAAATAACGCACCTATATAACCAAATTTAAATTTTTTCAATTTTTTCTGACTTTTTTTTTGGAAATTTTAATGTTTTAAATATTTTTTAATTTCAATTTATTGTTAAATTTCATTTGATATAATATAAATAATTTGTAAGGGCTAAAATGACCTGTCTGTATAATATTCTAATCGAGCATGGGATTCCAAAAAAACTAGTAAATCTAGTCAGGATGTGCTTGACGGAGACACTCAATAAAGTTAGAATCGGTAATAATTTGTCCGAAAAATTTGAGGTTCGTTCGGGCTTAAAACAGGGAGATTCTCTTTCGCCTGTCCTGTTCAATTTGGCATTAGAACATGCCATTAGGGAGGTAATGCGAACCGAGAAAGGGTTGGATCTGGGCGGGACAACATCCGTGCTGGGCTATGCTGATGATCTGGTACTGTTAAGCGAAGACGTTGAAACTATAAAACTAAATACGACAACGTTAATGAAAGCCGGTAAAGAACTAGGACTCGAAATAAACGTGGATGAAACAAAATATATGGTTAGCTGCAAAAATGGCGATACTTCTGGTGATATCGATATAGATGGTAATATGTTTGAACAGGTAGATAAATTTAGGTACCTAGGTTCTACGATAACTAGAAAAAACGAAACTGAAGAAGAGATTAAGGTTAGACTGAAGGCGGGCAATGTTTGTTATTTTTCTGTCACAAAACTACTTAGTTCGCGCCTCTTGTCCCGAAACTTAAAAATTAAAATCTATAAAACAATTATCTTGCCTACAGTTCTTTATGGATGCGAAACTTGGCCGCTTACATTAAGGGATGAGCAGCGTCTTAAGGTTTTTGAAAATAAAGTATTGCGTAGAATATTCGGACCGAAGAAGGATGAGTTAACCGGAGAGTTCAGACGGTTACACAACGCCGAATTGCGTGAGCTGTATCCGGGTAATATAATTGAGGTAATTTCATCGCGGCGAATCAAATGGGCTTGTAAAGTTGTTGGACTTTACAACGAGTAACGAGAGAATTCCTAAAAGGTTAATATTTGCTGTGCCGAATGGTAAGCGTCCGAGGGGTAGACCGAAGCGAAGGTGGGAAGATTGCATTAAAGCCGATCTGAAGGGACTGGATTTGGACGGCGAACGGTGGAGGGAGGTGTGTAACAAGCGATTGGTGGTGTCGGCATCGAACCTTCGGGTTCGCTAAGTCTTATTATTATTGTTATTAAAATGACCTGTAAGAGATTGAGGAGTCCGCCAGTGTTATAAATAAATAAAGAACAATATTAATCTTCAGGAAGCCATAAGTTTCTTATCTGTAACACTCAATGAAACAATACGTTGAAGATTCAGGTTATAATTATTAGTAACTCATTAATACAATTGTAATGTTTAATTAAATCTTGTTTATTTGAAAAATCTGGACCAGTTCTAAATAAGTTACAAAAAAGTAACTGGAGATACATAAGTAAAAAAGACCAGAAAATATTTATTTTCTTGAATAGCGAGTGACACTATCCTAATAACAAGTTGTGAATGTTTAGCAATTATTTTTTATGGTTCTAAAGTGTTTTACCATCACTTGTTGAAAATCACCGGTTGCACGTGATATAAATTGCTTATTGACGTGATAATCTCAAATCATTAAATAAGCTTTCATGAAATATTCACGAGCGCCACGACTTGACGAAATGATTGCCTATTCCATCCTCAATAGAAAATCCTGATAAGAGCCGTGCAAGTATGAAGTACTTGTGCAGGTTTATTTATTACCGCATCAAACCGCATAAGTGTGATAACAGCCTTATAGTCAGCTGTTGTTTCTTATTAATGTAATAGAATTGTAATATTTATGAATTTAAATCACTTTTGAAAATGAACTGTAGGTGCCTAAATAACTCGCTATCTATCTGCAAATGATGGAAGTGTGGAGTAGGGTGGTCATCGGTGAGGCCATGGAAATCGCCTTCACACCAAGCACTCCAGTTCATCAATGCATTACTCCATTTGGAATAATCGTCAGAGATCACGTAACGGTTTGTGTTGTAAAGGGTTGTAATACGGCTTGGATGTGATGGAGGAAATACTGATAGTGATATTTCGGATTCGTTAGGAATATATCTGTACCCTCCAGGTAAAAACAGCATGTCCATTTTTGTATTTGTTCAGGGGAGACAATGTTCCATAACTTTGAGCTATTATAATTTGTTTCTTGGTAACTAAATCTGTACTCCGGAGCTAAAGTATATCCTGTCACATTTTTGTGTTCGTTCAGGAAGCCAATTATCCATAACCTTGAGCTGTTAATTTTCTTATCTTAGTTAATAAATTAGTTGATTAAAAAAAATGGACATGGCGACCTTTACCTCCGGTGCACAGATATTATTTTATACCATTATAAATTTTATGAGGGCTGATGGAAGAAAGAAAGATGGTATTGGTTATTCCACTTTCGGCAGAAATACCAACATTTTCGACAATCACAGAAAGTTTATGTTTCCAGATTTTAACTGGTTTACAAATTACATGCAGAAGGAACCAACGCTCTGATTTGATGGCTGAAACTACTTCTGCGAAACACCATCAGAATGCATTACAGGTTGCCTAGTTTATCAGTACTCCGGATCTGTTCAAACACAAAATTGCGGGTGATATATTTATGCTAATCCTCATTGTGATTGGTGGATATCCTGATACCGGCGGATAGCCCTGGCGGTATACGCCCCTGCATATTGAGCAGGCAGGGCGCAGCTAAATCCCTTCTCATGAAGATTAGGCAGAAGATTATGCATCTGTTTCAGCTTTCACCCCAGCTGGTCAGGGCAATGACTGAGGTGGGCTTAAAGGATACATGAGGACTCGCCAGTCCATCGTGCATGCTAAGCAGCTTTACAGTCATTTGATAAAGTAGCGCTAATAATTTGTGTTCTTTTCCTAAAATCAAAGTCGACAGAGAAGCACCTGTTGATGGAAGTTTTCTTTTCTTTGTCTTTCATCTTTTTTTTTCTTTTTTTTTCTTCTTATTCATATCGAGATATCAGAATTCCAGAAAAATTCATGGAGTAAATATGATACAAACAATTATGTCGTTATAGATTTTCTATTATTAGTGTAAAATTATTATATTAATTTTTATAAAAATTATTAGAGGGGCGGGGTGGCCGAGCGGAATAACGCTTGTTCACAGCACCAGTGCGTTGCCCAGCAACCTGATAAATAACCGAAATTTGAGTTAGAAAAATAATAACGAGTTCAAATCCAGGTGCCCAGTGGGACTTTTAACTTTAACTCGGCATAATTCTCCTGCCCTCTCCCTTCGTCCGGGGAAAAACTGCGTGTAGCCTTAAAGGCAAGAAAGAAGACATCGAAAAAAAATCAAGTATTCCAAAATAAATCTTAAAACCAATATTTCTAAGGTATTTTGTTAAAACACCTCAGCTAAGTAGGAGCAGTATAATTTCCTAATTTCTTCTAAAAGTTAGATAACTACCTACATGTGTAACTACGTATATGTATTGAGAGACCTATAATCTGTCGTTTAGGACCAATATCTACAGGAATGGCCTGTAGGAAGAAGGAGTGCGTTAAAATCCATATTTGACCAGGTATCAACATTCATAAATCCCTTAAAATTTCAAAAAATCGAATTCACGACAGTAAGTTTTATACCCGGGTTAAAAAACAAATGACCTTATATAACCACATAGAATAGCATATTTTGCCTATATAAGTAATGTCCGGCATATAGATTCGACAAAAGGATATAGTTTGAAATCTTATATTGGTTATAATGGAATCAAGCTGTAATATAAGAGCTACCTCTCCCACCAAAATTAAATCCTGGATCCGTTAGTGCTATTCCCCCAACTTTCCTCCACCTTAGGACCAAATCGGACGAGCTCTTGTTAAAACATTTGCGTATCAAGGAAAGTAGGTTTGTTTAATGGTAAACGAAAGCATTTTTTAAAAGCAGTGGTTGAAATTTAATAAAATTGACACATGCTATATCATTTTATCACCAATTACTAAATCTCTTCCAAAATGAGGCCAAATCGAACCAGTGGTCTTTGACAAGTAGATATCTCAAGGAAATTACTTTTGCTCAAGAAGAAGCAGATGGAATTCGAAAAAGTATAACTTCTTTCCATTAAAATCAACTTTGATCCAAATCGGACAAGCCTTTAATGAGCTTGAGAGCATTTATTGGTGGATCTCAGAAAATACATTTATGAGAACGTATGCGACAGTAAATGGAATTTGATGTAGATCATCTAGGTGCCAACAGGCTATGTTTCTCAAAATTTCATGAAAATTGAAAAAACAGTAACAGAAGATATGTCCATCATATGGATTTAAAACACAGACAAACTTACATAGAATGAAATTTTTCCTTGAAGTCGACAATGTAAGACGCAAATGAAAATGAATACAAAGCTTCCCTACCTTCGGTTGTGGATAAGCAAAACAATCTCATTTATATGTGTCCAACTGTGGAGGCGGCTATCCTTGAAACAATTTTAAACTTTTAGCTTTTTGTTTATTACTTTTTTTCGGAAAAATATGAGATATTCGAAGGTTTAAATTTTATACCGATGGATCGATATGAAAATATAACATAGAAATATCGATACAAAAAATATCAAAAAGAGGAGCAATAATAATGTTTCATAAAAACCTAGATAATTTCAAGTACAATTATCAATTCTTTTTTTAAGTTCAGTTATTATAGGGAAGATGACAATAGTTCTTTGAGTACTTTGTGAATTCGACTGTTGACAATACGTTTATTTATTTGTTTAGTATATTTATTTAGTAGTTATACGAGTATTTATCGAAAAATACAAAATTGGGATTACATAAAGTCTTGTTTCTTATTCATTCCTTCTAGTTTCCTCAAAATCTGAAAATCCTCATGCATCTGCAAAATCTTGTTACTTCTGTCCTTTATCTATTAATTCAGTCCTTATATTGATTGACATAATTTCAACGTTAGCAAAATATATAAAGCAATGCATTTAAATTAAAATATTTTAGAGTATGGCTCCATAAAAGGTATCATGGTTCAAATCGGCGTCCAGAACTTAGGACTTTGAATAACTATGCACACCTACTTGAAATTTTTAACTACTTACAAGAGTATTGGTGGTCATCTTCCATCTTCTGGCCAGGATGTGGAACATCCTTTTGATCCTTCCGAGCAACGAGTTGTTCTTAATTCTGCATTTTACGGCATAATTTCGTTCCAATACAACCCGTAAGCCCGAAGCTCTCAATGACCTAACCTCAAAGATGAGTAAAGTTTAAAAGCATCACATGATTTTTTCTAATCGATCATAAATTATTGATAGCTACCAAAAAAAAAAATCGATAATTTTCGTGATGGATGTCATTTCGAAGTGAATTCAATGGAATTTGAATTTATTATTCACTAATCTCTTGAAATGCACAGCAGTGGAAAAGCTAACACGCGTAAATGTGCATACGCAATATCACCTCATGACAATCGTCTAATGATATTTCTATATTGAAAGGTCTCGTGACCACCTTCTTACCAAACACCTCTAAGTATCATTGGATGATATAAATATAATGATTTAATAGCCATCTCATGTATGCTAACCAGCACCATAGAAAAAAGTGTTGAACGATTTGTGAGAAAAATCCTCCGGACAATAACCGGAGCGATGTTATGGTTTGGAACACGGTGTTACTGCAACTTAATGCAGACATAACTGCATAAAAAATCGTTGATGCACCAATAAAACAAGCAAATAATTATATCAAAATTAAAAGAAGAAAACCAACCATATTGCACATTTTTTTTTACTAAACAAAGGTCAAACTTATCTGGTCTAAAAATCTATAAGTACTTAAATAAGTATATTACTTTCCCACCTACACTTGGTAAAGAAAGTACTGCGATCGGATCAAATTTCCGATATAAGGTTTTCGACGGATCTATATCTTTCAGAGCCCTCTGAGTCCGAAAAACACATTTTTAGCCATTGGTCTGTGTGTCTGCGCCAAGAATTTCTCGAGAACTACTGAACCGATTTAGTTGCTTCTTTTTTTATTTTGTAGGGTTTTCACTACTGATGCCTGTGACACAAACGATTTTGATGAAACTTCCTATAATGTTCTAATAATCGTCCTTTCAATTTTCGTATATGGATTAAATTCCCGAAAAAAATCAGGAAAAGAAGAAAAATATTTTGGGGCCTAACTCGCAAGGTATATATTCTATGGTAAAATTTATAACAAATCTTTTGAAAGGTAATTAAATTATCAAAAAAAAATCATCGGAATCGAACCAGTATTAGCGATGATACAGCTTATTCTATTTTCTATTTAAATTTATTAGTTTCCTAGCTATAGTAAGCAAATAAAATATATTTTATGGCCGATGGTGCATAAACCTTCCATCACCATGATATTATATTGCTGTCTTCTTCTTAAAAATTGTGCAAATTAAAGTAGAATTTAAATATTCGTAGATTATATACAATTACACACCATGCTTCCATATTTTTATCCTTTTTTCTGTCCTTCCCTATCTCGCCTTTTAGGCTGTACGGGGTTTTCCCGGGCCGGAGATTGAGGGCGGGGAATTTAAAATCCTCTCCGTCACCGAGACGCGAACTTGTATTTTTTTAAATCTCTCATAACTTCGGGTTATCTGGTTGCCGGGCAACTCGCGGTGCTTTGCACATGCGTTAACCCATTCGGCCACTCCGCCCGCATCATGCTTCCACTTGTATTTTGAATTGAAACTTTTCATTTTGAAAATTCTCACTCCTCTCTTCACTCGAAAATTGAAAACCTCATCAAAATGTGCCCCCTTCATAAATTTTGATGAGCAGCTTATGATAATGCTGCGTCCTGGAAGTAAAGGGCACCATTTCCATTTTTCAATTAAATAATTTAGTTACTGAGAAACAAATTTTAACAGTACCAAGTTATGGAACATTGGTTCTCCTAAACAAATACAAAAACGGACGTGGTTTTCTTTACCTCCGGGTTACAGAATTTATTAAAAAAAAAAAAAAAAAAAGACATTATGAACACAGTATGAACTTTTGAATATTCCAAGCATCGTGCCATGATGATGACCAAGACGTATTTAAAAGTTCAATCACTAAAAGAGCAAACTAATCTTCTTTAAATTAATTCACGTTTGCATAAATTTCTTAGTATAATTAATCACAGCTCCACTCTTGCATTGCTAAACACCACGATGACGTGAGAAAACAATGAGGGATGACCACATTTTGAAGATGACTTCAGCTACAAGGAGCTTGTGTTTTGGTTTGACGAGTTTGTTTGGCTTTCATCTCACAGAGGATGAATCGCAACTCATCCCGGGTTGCCGGGTAGCCTTGAGACTTTAATGAATTCATAGCCATCTCGGGAGAATATTATTGCTGGACGTGACTTGAATTTGATTTCTCGAATTCGCCACCGGTGATCGGTTGGTCACGTGTTTAGCCGAGCTGGAAACATGGCATAAAATAATTCCTTGCGGATATTATTGAATGATGATTCGTCGAAGTGAACTTTTGACATGGACAGTTATGGTATGATAAGACGGCATTTGACAGAACTGAATCAATCCACATCTCACATCTTTAAGTCAAACTTAATTGTCGTCGTAAATATGGAAGCATTCAAATAAATGTTTTAAAAAAGTGGTCTTACTGTTTCGAAAATTCATATCTCTCAAATGAACAATCTTCTGGAAAATTTGACAAATAACTTTGTCATCATCGTTATTAATTAAGTTTGAAATTACTGTAAACTTGATAGACATATAATTGTAAAGAAGAATGAATTTTCTCAATTTCACGGTCTATTATGGAATATAATAGGGTATATATGAAAAATTACCGTTTTTCAACCAAATATTTGTATTATTATTTCTTTGATATAAAATGTAAGTAATACTCAAATTATAGTCCATTATTATCTACATTCATTAGTCATCTCATAGCCAATTGCTCGATCCCACGCTGATACCACTCTGTGGGATTGCTGTCAAAGAACGCTTGGACCGCTATATCAACTTAATTATCAATTTTTTTTCCTTGAAAAAAATGTGTCATGGATCTAAATAAGTAGTAATCCGATAGTTTTTCAGGTAAGGGTTTTTCAACAAATTTCCACAAATTTTTAACCTCTTAGCTGGTTGCTGAGGAGTACGTTCGTAAAGAACCAGTCTATTGCTCTTTTTCACCACATGAAGAGTTTATGGAGACTAACAATACTTCAGACACACCACACTCTCTGGCAAGTTCGCGAGTACTTGTGGGCGGATTTGACTCAACAGCTTCCTGCAGAACCTCACCAAAATCCATCAATGGTCGCCCGGAGCCCTTCTTCCTTTCCAACGTCTCTCCACGGTTAAATTGTTCAAACCAACGCCGCGCGGTGCGTTGGTTAAGGACACCTTTCCCATCATATTTAACAATTTCAAGAGTTGTTTCAGCTGCTGTGAATTTTTTTTTTCCAGTATTGCCTAAAAATTACGAGAATTTCGTAGGATAACTGTCATGTTTCTTCTTTGAAACAATGAGTTAAACTGAGGTTTTATTTGAAGAAGTCGAATGGGATTAAACAAGCTTAGAGAATGTTCTAAAGGGATTATTAAGTATTGGTAATTATTAAATAGTATTAAAATATTTACAGTCCTTTGAAATTTCGAATTTGATAAAACGGTTTTTTTTTTAAATATCCTATTAGATTCTTAAAACACCCATAACTCTTTGAAAAAGTGTATTCTAGATATAAAAAGAGCTTCATATATTTTGAAGCCCTATGTATTTACAGTCTACGGAGATTTTTTTCTCATTAAGCTTTCAGTTTTTTTCAAGATAAATATAACAAGTTATTTCTACCAATTCATATGCACCAATACGTTCAATTAATCAACAGTCAAGTTTTACGTACATTTGGCGCTGAATTTCAAGTCTGAATGGTTGGATGGAGTGATTTTTAAGACATCAAAAGTAATAGATAAGTATTTTTTTAATCTCACGAGGTTTAGTTTTAAAATTAAAGCTTAGGTGATTTCGTTTCATATAAATATAGTAAAAAACAAAAGTAGATTTAATAACCTGTATTTTACAATTGAATGTTCTTTTTTTTTATTCGGCACAGCACACAGCTCAACCTAAAATCTATACATAATCGTAAGAGTTATGCTTAGTGATTAAACAAAATCTTACATGACATTACTTAATCTAGAAAATGGATTCCACATGCAGACAAACAGAGATTGCTCGTATTGGAGAATAAGATGAACTTCTCAACAAAATGATGGAATGTGTTAAAATCAACCCTTACCAGAATAAAAATTAGAAAATATCCAGCAACCGTTCATTTTTTTGATATTCGACACCCTTCCAATTTGTCACAACCACGCTGTAGGCCACCCCGGATCAGGTAGGCTGTGGCAAATTAGCTGTCAACCTCTCTAAGTGCCTGTAGCTACGATGAATGGAGAGATCTTTATTGCTTTCAAAATGTCTGAAATATGATTTTCTCTTGTTAAAACCAACGCAGAAACCTACTTCTCGTATTCAGGAAGAAAAAAAAAAGCAAGAATTTTTCTTTAAACCGATAAATTGCAACGCTATATAAATTTCAGAGTAGAAACCATAGGTAAAAAATCTACGGCTTCTATGCCAGCTTCCTCGACGTAGCCGCGCCCATTTTCGCCCGATATTTATTAATTGATGAGCTAGAATATATTGTGTATTTAGTGATAAAATAAAAATAGCAACAGTAAAATTTAAAGAATTGTTAAGGTCTCCATACCACTGCCTAACCTAACTACAGCTTCTAATGATAAAAATGTTCCTGCCTATGATATAAACAATCAGTCAGTTGCTTGATCGCCTTCAAGCATACTTCTTCTTCTTATTATTATCCAATATTCTCTTCTACCTTTCGGAGTAGAGATTTTCGTACAAGGATTTCCATCCGTATCTGTCGAAGGCTGCTCTCCTGGCTTCCGGCCATCCAATTCCTCTGTCTTTAAGAACATTCTTGAGATTATCTTCCTAATTAATTCTTGGCCTTCCTCTAGGTCGTTTTCCCGCTGGTTTAGCCTCCATAATTTTCTTTGCTGAACGGCGGTCATCCATCCTCATTACATGACCGAACCATCGAAGCTGCCCTTTCTTCATGCATACAAGATGGAAAAATTGATCGGTGGATGAGCTTACAGTTAATCAACCAATACAAGAGTAAGAACATTAAGATAGGGTTCAAATTCATAATATTGGCAATTATAGTAAATAGTACATTAAAGGAAGGTAGTCGTCTGTGCTACATATCATGGGTGATAAATATTCAGGTCGCAGTCATTTTTTAAGACTTTTATTGTTGCCAAGCGTGTGCCTCATCATTACTGGAGCTGATGGTGTTTAGTAAGTATTACTTAAACAGAAGTAATACTTGAACACCAATAGTACCTCATAGATATGAATGTGTTTTTCATGAATTTTTCTATTTTTATGTTCTCTCTAGTTTCATTTATATTTTTTTAATAAGCTTTATTTTTATTTTATTTTTTTTTTATAATTTTTTTATTGCTTGTTTGTTATAATATATATATATATATATATATATATATATATATATATATATATATGTATGTATATATATATACATATATATATATGGTATGGATGAATCTCACACACCTATAATACTCAATGCCCTTCAGCGAGGCAAAATGTATTATTTCTTAATAAAATTAATTTTAAAAAATTTAAAAAAGTAGTTCCTCAAATGCTCGTAATACTCTATCTTCAGTGCTGGTAACATCCCCTGATGATGACCCATAAGCTTGTATGGAAACGTTGGCAAAAAAATTAAAAACTGACTACCTCCAGAATATTTATCACCCATAATAAACCATACATATACCTAAAAACACATCACAAACCCGCCAGGAGGAAACTAAACTTTGTTAATCTACTTAACTTGATTTTTTTTATTTAAAGGCTTAAAGTGTCTAGAATAGCCTAAATTTAAATTTAAAACTCTCTTTCTGTAAAATGTCTCAAACAAGACATTGTCCTCATTTAATAAATGCATGAATTCATACTTCATGACAGGGGAAATATAAATCCTGCGAGATGAAGACATATTCTGAAGAAGAAGAAGAGTATAGACTTGTACACCTGCAGGAAACAATAAGTCACTGAGGTAACACGGCCATCTCTGAGAATAGTTGGTCGACTTAAGCCAAGCTGGTTGTAAACTACAGTCGCTATGAGAGTGGGTGTTTTCAACTATCTGGCAGAATTCCATTTACAAAACAAACAAAAAAAATTTAAAATATTGTTGAGTGAAAAGTATAAACCTAATATAAATGAAAGCTCTATATGTTTTATTTTCATTTCAAGGTGAGTTTAGTTAATTTTAGAGTTCTATGTCATTGATTGTGAGACAGAATGACTAAAAAAATTATAATCTATATAATGAGAAACGGCTTTTTACATTATTAATAATCAACAAAGTACATAGTGTAATAAAAAAAATTCAACTAACTTCACTGAAATTTTACTCATGATCTGAAAATCTCAATAAAATAAAATAATCTATTACATCGAATTTTGTAGAATGACTAAAAAAAAAAAATCTATATAATAAGAAACGGCTTTTTATATCATTAATAATAAACAAAGTAGATCAAACCAAACCTAAAACAAACGCTCATCATGGAGAGATATTTAATCTTCAGTTCAGCTTTCTAAACAAAATTTCATTAAAGCTTAATCAGACAGAAATTATTTATTTATAATATACATATTTATATCAAGATAATTTTTTTATCTACAATGGCAATGAGTAGACATGATATTAAGGAATTCATTTGATATCGTGGAGAACAGAACAAAACAAAACAAGAAAAAAAAAACAAGCAAGAAACAAAGAATATGAATAATAGAAAATAAAATGCCAATAAATTACAAAACTGAGGTAAAGAAAAATTAATAATAAATGACACAATAACAAAAAATTATAACGTAAAAATAATAAAATAGCAAGCAGCTGAATTAGCAAGCAGTCTTCTGAGCGGATTATATGGATTTGTAGCAATAGTTAGAGCCTGAGTAAGTGGGTTTGAATTTAGAGTCAGTCCGTCATGAAAATTATTAAAACCTTCTATAACAGTTCCTGTGATAACAGGAATTTCAAGGTCGGTGTGTAGCATAAGATAAGAAACATAACATAACAAAGGAAGAAATAAAAAACAAAAGTATAGAAACAGTAAGAGAACAACCGAAAAAAAAAAAAAAATATTAGGGTTTAAAGGAAATATACATAGTGTTCAGGGATCAGTTTGGAAAATATAAATAAAGCTCAAGAAAGTGTATACCACATACTAATAGTTGATAAAGAAGAGGATTATGAAACGTAAATTATCTATTTATTTATTGAGTAATATAACATTCTGTCTATTTGACAATAGTTATAGTGAGGTAAGATCATATTCACACAATATATACCTAAAAATTAAAAACAAATAGAAACAAAATAACAATAAAAATATATATAGAATAAATAAAAACAAAATAAATTAAACATAAATAAATTTTAAAAAATAACACATTCGTATAACTGCGGAGGGAAAAACAAAACTCCAGGAGATTCCTGCACAACTCTCTCAACCGCGTCACTGGGACTGAAACCAGTGGAGATGGAGCAAAAGGATTTCAGCCACATACCCTCATGTCATGAGTGGAGAATCTGGATATTGCCAAGGCGGATCTCCAATATATACAAACTATAAATTTATTCGAATTACAAAACAAATACCGGTAAGTCTAGATTTTCTAGTTTTTATGTATTTATTTTATACAATGGCTTCTTATTTTTTTTAACACAAGTCTACTTGCAGATAGCCAATGTTGAAACATGATGCGGTTATGACAAACAGGTATTAGTAAACATAAGGAAAAAATTGTTTGGAAAATAAAGTAAACATGCATGGTTAGTAGGCTATCAAACAACCGTTTCCTAAATGCTGAATTCCAAGATTCTTATCATACTTTCGAATGACTAGTGGATATGAAAAAATAATCTCAAAGATTTGAATACAAAAACACCTTATGTTTCCATAACTTAGTAGCAAATTAGAAAAGATAAGTCTGGTTTATGATAGTTTTTCCTAATTACGCAGTTAATTAGTCATCCATTGAAGATTCTAACAAAACGACGATTTTATACGTTCATTTAATAATTTTTCTCTAAAAATGAGCATATGTCTTAAGGTGGAGCGCTGAATGTCTTTGGAGAAAAGAAGAGAAGTGAAAATAACAGTTCATACTCATCCAAGTAGTGAATAAAAGTGAATCAATGAATGGAATACGTATACAATAGATTTTTCCTTGCAAAGGCAGATTAATTATTTATTATTTTCCTATATTTTTTTTATAACATATCATTCAATGGAAAAATTAAAAAAGTATTACTTAGTCCCGCAAAAAAATATATTTTACCTTAAAAGGCTCCAAGAGACTGATGAGCACCTATGCCATGTTTCACCACAGGATGATTTTAGGAACATGGAGATAGCATCTGCCATTTTGTTTTAAACGTCCGTTTTATCGCGACCGTTTTTATATAACTATACATTTGAAAATAATATATCTCTCTGAGATTTTATTCTCATAAGAAAAATTGTATACCATGTAATATAGATGTATTTTAGCCTATGAAAACGGTGAGGAAGCTTAACTGACCTTACTTGGCAGACGTTTTTTATTTCAGTTTAGATATGTTTAATGCCTTCTTTAGGACCACTGTTCTAATCGTCTTGGTACCTTTCAGATAATACCCTGGCAGCCAGTTTATGATACGCCATTCCCAGGCAGGTTGCCAGTAGAGACAGCATTATCATATAGTCCGTACGTGACTAGAAGCGTCAGAGGAAGTTGCCAGATGAAGCAAGACTAATTCAGCTGAAGTACGGCAATCACTTCCAAGGTCTTGTACAAGATTAGTGTTGGTCTAAATATCCTCACCTTCCTTCATTATGCCTCATCGTTCTCCGTCTTATGATTATCATAGAAACATTATCTTCTTAAAAATTGTTAGTTGTGTAGTCTTACATTGATTTTTGTGATGGATATTTCAGTTCTTTCGAGTTATGAAGAAGACTCATGAATGTTTATGGATAACATTAGTTTATGTTACATTAGATACAGAGATGATATTTTTCTATACATAAGGTAGATTTCGTTTAAATACTTAAGGATAAATATCAACACTTTAAAACAGAGGTCTTCAAACGATTTGACCGACGGACCACATTAAGACCTCCTCCAAATCCGTATTGGGACCTCCATTAAGTCCCGCGGGCCAGGGATTGTAATGAAAAAGAAGTCTTATTCTATATATGACACTTCAGTTGCGAAATTAGCTGTCTAAGAGAAATAACTAATGTATTAAATGATGTAGTAACCTCGTGTTTAAGTGATATATTTTATTTAATGAACGGAAATGGAGTTAAGACCAATTTTGTATTTTTAATTAATGTGGTCACGGTTTTTATTAAATAAGAAGAAATTGCTCAAAAACTTTCCATGGTAACTAAATTTCAAGTACACCAACGTAAAATAGACAAATTTTTCTTTGAAAAAATAGTGACTAAATTTACTAAGGTCAATAATAAAAGGGACTGTCGGGAGGTCTAATACGGCAGCTGTACTGCTGCAGTTACAGCTCCTATACACAAGCAGCATATCTCTGTAATTCCGATTCGTGAAGTAATTCGGCATATTGGTTTGCTTTGCTTTATTATACTTCCTGAAAGTCCTTTAATCATTGACATTAGTAAATGTAATCACTGTTTCTCAAAAAAAGAATGTTTCTACTTTACTTAAAATTTATTTATCTTGAACAGTTTGAGCAATTCCTTCTTATTGAATAAAAAACGTGACCACATTAACAAAAAAAAAAATGTGGTCTTAACTCCTTTTAGTTTCGAAATCAATCTATTCATTGAATGAACATTTTGTTAAAAATTTAGTCGAGAATAACTCATCAGAATTTGGCCATTGAGAACTGAGAAACCCTGTATAAACATATTATAAATTTATTTTTAAATAAATAGTATTTTATTGTTTGTTTTACAATAATTATGTTGATTATTTTAACTATCACTCATAATTGTTATAATATTTTTTTTTTTAATTTGAAAATTAATATATTCTACCGCATTGGAGGGCATTAATATTAGGGCTACATTAAACATTCACACAATATATACGTACAAATGATAACTAAAATAGAGATAAAAGAAAAAGAGTTGTAGAAAGTAAAATAAGAAAATTAACATACATATGTAAAAAAAAAAAAAAAAAATGTAGAGAGAAACTAAATGAAATTAAAATATACAAAACACATTCACACCTATATACAATAGTTCTTACAATAACATACACTCCACAGACTTTTTATTTGGAGGTGGAGGGGAGGAGTCACCGTCTCCCAACCAGAATAGAAAACCTACTCATACGACCTCACAAGTAATCATTTAATTATTATCTATTTTATTAGCATTAGAAAATAAGAGGAGGATAAATCGATTGAGCCTGTTAAAGCGTGATGGTGGGACCTATTCATTTACCAACATTGGACTTATTAACATCTGCTAGTAATCCTGCATATGGACTGTACCAGCTGCTTCATTCTGATTAATGTTTAATTCCTACTCTTCGCAATCCACTTTGGATGTATTAGCCTAAATTTCGTCCTGAAATATTCAGAAAAATTAATTTTGAAATAACAAATAGGAGAAATTATAAAAATTATGCGATATTTGTATGTATGCAAGTTGAGATTTTTTTTTAATTTAAACAACAATAAAAAATTACTTCGGAAATAAAAAAATATTGTAAGCACTAAGAAAAAAGATTTAGAGATGTTGGATTTAAAAGAAAAGCTCTAAGCAATAATGAAAGCTCTAAAATATTGAAAATAAAAGAAAGCATACTTTAAAAATGGGTAATTAATCAGTAGATCAATTATTACGATGAAACACAATTACCAGGACTAATAGTAAAGAATTGTAATTAGCTTAGCCGATGTTTCCATCCAAGCATGTGGGTCATCCTCACGTCTATATTTTGGTAGTGTCCAGTTCTTGTCCAAATTCCCAAAATAAAGCTCTGAGGATCACTAACGGATCTAGGATTTAATTTTGGTGGGATTCAGTACGATTTTTTTTTTTTTTTAAATATATAAAGATAATCATAACAATAAAGGAACAAATAGAAAGGAACTAGCTACCTATATGAAATAGAGTTTAAGTGATTCTTTAAGTACTATTAAATGTAATTACACGAACAATAATATTTTTAGAGGTAGTTATTAAATATTTTTTCTTAAGACATGGTTGTATTTTACCATTTTGTGAGAATTCAGTCCGAAAGCCCCCGTCTCTCAAATCCACTTGTTTGGGTCGAAACGTCGGCTAACCCAATTAAAATTCTTTACTGTACAACCTGACAATTTTGTTTGATCCTAAAGCATAATTTAGCAAACATATTGAAAGTGCTTTATGAAAGCAAAAAGTTTTAGTTGGCGGAAAATGTTACTTTAAAGTTGTCTTAGACAGAAATAGAGTAAGATGATCTAATCAAAAGTTCATAACTCATCAGTTCAGGAAAACATTGAAGTCTTCGAAAATTCTAATATTCAATTTTCAGGATGAAAAATAAATAAGGTCGGAAAAGAAATATTCTTTTTGTAAATCACAAATTTCAAAATAAATTAATAACAAGCACCACAGAATGTTCCTTCGTACTTAAGTAGGCATGGATTTCTTTTTTGTTGAATTAAGAAATTTTTCCTGATGATAAATGCAAGATTAATTTTTCATCTTTTCCTTTCGCCGCCACCTCCCTATACCCCCTCCGGATAAAAGTCGTTGTTTATAACATTTTAGGTAATTTGTTTCAAAATATCAATTCCTCATAACATAAACTAATTTTATTGACTTAATTAAGGTTAAAACAATCCAGAACCAGAAATGAATATATTTGATTAAAGCTAAAAAAAAAAAACTCACAATTCTGTTGCTTGGAACAAATAGCCCTTTCTAAGTACGAGGCCGTGGAGATAAACCAAGGCCTCAGGGATAGTTTTTCCTGCCACTCCAAACATTAAATTTTCGACTAAAACTCAACCAAAGCTTTTTATAAAGTATGTAACAATAATATTAGATAAAGGATAAATCCAGACCGGGTCTACGGGACCATGGCTGCCCCCACCTCGTCGCGCATGCTAGTTCCGGCCCTGAAGAAGGTCAGGTCTTTTGTTCCCCATACTCTCATCCATACTTTCCAACCGCATACAAATAACTGATTTCCACTGTCGACAGCTCTAAGTAAAAAGAATTTGTTCAAATTTCCCATGAATGACAGAGATAAGACAGAGAAGAGAGGCTAGTACAAAGAGAGTTGCTGTGCGGGGAGGGAGCATTGCATAGCGACACAAAGAGGCTGCACACCTGGGCTCACACGTGTGTACGCGTGCTCACAAAGGTCCCTTTTTTACGTGGCAAGGATTTGTCTGCCAAGGTCTTTCCCGGAACTGGGCTTCTGTATGGAACACTTGGATCTTCCATTCTTACCTGAACTTATGGATTTAGGTCTTTTGCACGCTATCTCTGCATTGCGTTCTTCCAACCCCAACAAATAATTCGTAAGGATTAATCGATTTGGTCAACCAGGTCAACCGGTATTATATATGTCTATATTTTATCTATTTTTTAAATATTTTATATAATCATTATTTTGCGATTGGGTTCGGGAACATGGGTATTTTAACAATAAATACACTTTTAACGGTGGGCAAAGTGGAGGTATACTCTAAATAAAAAAGATAGATGATATAGATATAGTGTTTAATAAAAAATGGTTTTAAAGTAAATAAATAATGATACTGTAAAAAAAGATTAAGAAAAAAATAGAATGAAATAAAAATAAAACGTAAAATGAAAAGTAAATTCTGAATCTTCTTCTTTATTGAGATATATTACAATCAGTCACATTCAAGGACAATAGCAATATAGAGTAGAGTAGCTCATTCATACTATGCACAAAAACAACAATGTAATAATAATAAAGTAAATGTATATAAAGTAAAAGATACTAAACTAAACAAAAATAAACTAATCTAATAAAATAAATACTTAAATACATACATGCTTCGGCGGTACATATAATAAAATTGGAAAAGTAAATAAAATAAAAATAAATCTTTAATATATTAAAAAAGAAAAATAGATAAATAAAATGTGTATTACAGAAATAAAAGTTATACACAAATAAATATATATATATATATATATATATATATATATATATATATATATATATATTTTTTTTTTTTTTTTTTTTTTTTTTTTTTTCCCCTACGTGGTAACCCCACACAAGGATCGTTTATTTGATTTTCCTTCATGCTCCATGCCTTAAAGACATACTACATGAATTACATTTGTTTACAATTGTTTTTTTTTCTAGTTTCACATGATTTACATTTTTAGTTCAAATTTATATACATTAACAAAAAAAAACACAAAGAATAAACACACAAAAATTAAATCGGAAAATTAAATATTAAACACACAAAGTCAATCCAACAAAGCCAAAAAGAAATCACCCACGCTGCCCATCCCTGGTTAGTAAGTCGAAGTCGATCGATCTAATAAATCTAAGAAAGTCTGTCTTGAATTCAGTAAATAACTTTTGTTCCGTCTCAGGCCAATTTCCTCTTTTGATAATTATGCTTTTTATTAACTCAAATCGCTGTCTGTCAAATCGTTTACATTCATATATTATATGTTTAAAATTTTGAACCTGTCCGTCTTCATCACATAAGTCTGTTTGTATAATGTTGAATCTTTTAAGATATTGTTTTGTATTCCCATGTTCCGTAAGTACTTGCGT